CTACATGATCATCATCAAGACATGCAACAATAACTTGTGCATCACCAAGTCTTATTGTAGCACTTCATACACTACTAGATCTTGTAATAATATTACAAATAATGCTTATTCTAAGATGAATTACTTGTATATTATTAAGTTTTGTAATAGAGTCAAGTGCATCCCTTGAAATTGTAATAATTATAAGTCTATTATTAAGACTTGTAGCAACTTCATGCACAGTACTAATAGTTATAATATTGGTAATCTATTATTCATTAGTCTTCCTTACATTATATCATTGACTTCAATTCTTTGAAAAGATACTTAAAACATAAATACTCTATAGCTCAATTGATTCATCTAACTCAAACAACCCCTAAATCATGAAATTGTACTCCCCTTCAAACTCTTTCTATCATTAAAGAATCTCATATGGTTAATCTTTAAGTCTCAAGCTTGAAAAGCAATTTATATGCTTCTTAGTGAAGAATAAAATGAACTTCTTAAAGAATCAGATTTAGACTTTACTTTTCTTAATTCAAATCCAAATTATGTACCTAATCTTAGCTAACAACAATTAAAACAAGTAGACATATAGAAGCAATATCAAAAATTGTTTCTCTCTTCTCACCTCTATCCCTTGTTCTCATCCAATAAATCTTGACTTAAACCTTATGCCTTACATAATTCAAAATTTAAATTAAAAAATTTAACTCTACTAATTCACAATAAATCTAAAATCAAGCTACATAGTAGTAGTTGTTTTTTTTCTTGCTAAGCACCAACCAAATGATAACCTTCCACTAATACATCAATTCTTGATATTTTAGGTCACAATCTTTTTTGGATTATTTTTGTCAATCTTCAATTGATTCTTTCAAGCTCAAGTCTTACCATTGCAATGTAGATCCTAATCTTACAAATTAAGGTCAAGAAGTAGATCACAACTTATTTGTAATCATCCCAATATCAATTTATACTTTGATGGGAGTAATTTGTAACCTATCTTTGTTTCTTTTGATGTATCAAGGAGAGTGCCCTTCTCCCCTCCTTTCATTTATTCTATTCATGTATCACATACTAACTTTCTTCACTAACCTTCAATATTCATAAAAAGTATTATGCTACTTGTGATTACTATTGGCACAATAATCACTCTCAATTTTGTAAAGTATGTAGATAAGAGCCTAAGTTTAATAATGATTTAATTCTTATTCATATTCTAAATTTATTTAACCATATATATGCCAAAATTTAAATTCTTTCTTTAAATATTTTAAATATATATATATATATATATATATATATATATATATCTATATATTTTTTTAAATTATAAAACTTAGAAATTTTATTAGATATGTACAACCTCTACATAATGTCTTGTTTTTACAAGAATACAAACTGAGTGGTACAAATGCTAAAGAATTAGATTAAAAACTTTACAAAGAAGAAAATTTTTACATTCTTAAAGCTGCACCTAGATATATACAAAAAGAATATGGAGCTAACAAAGGCAAAATAAGTATACTTATTCATCCTTCTCTTAAGTACTAGATTTTTTTTAATAAGTTTCATCTTTGACAATAAGTTACTTTTGATAATTCTTGAAAACTTTCCTATTGATAATATTGGATTAATAAATATATATACGCTTTCAAAAAATATCAAAAAATATTAAAAAAGAAGTAATTTATGAAAAGCTAATTATCATTTTCTACCAAAAAATAATTTGTTGGATCATAGGTGGAAACTAGAACAAGGTTGAAATTATAGTCGACAAATCATTTTTTTGTAATAAGATATTATCATCTTTAGAACAAAATCTTAGAATAACCTCAAAAAGCACCTTGACTTATATGATTTTTTATAAAATCCAACTTTATTAAGTATTCTTGAAACAACAACAAAAAGAAGATTTGAGTACTAGAATATTTAGATAGATTTTATATTATTTCAAGATTCTTTTACATATTACATGTTTTCGAATATTTTTATAAAGAAAAAACAACTCTCTTTGATCATCTCTCAGTTCACTTCTCCATTTAAGTAATTTCTCCTTTACAACCTTCAACTAACTATTAACTAAATCTAAATTTTTGAAAGGAAGAAATAATAAGAACAATAATATAAGATATATGAAATACTAATGGAAATGCTTCTTTTATAACTAAATTCTAAAAAGACATATGTAATAAGAAGTTTTTTATAAAATGAGAGCTAAAGATTTTTTTAAAAAAAAAATAGCTTTAAAACTCTTAAGATATTTTATCTAATTGTACATATGCTTGACATTCAATTGTGTGGTTGGTTTGCGATAAAAATAAAATAATTAAAACTTCCTAATATAGGCATTAATATAGATTTCCGATTTTTGAACAGTTTCTATAAAATTATTAAAAGACGATTGTATTTGTTCTATGAAATATATATATATTTTTTATAAAATAAATCAATTAAATAAAACTGGTGCACATTCTGTTTATAAATACTATTAAATTCTCAAATTTAGAAAAGGAATTATAGATCAAACAGTTTATAATATAAATGATGTTAAATGAGTGGAAAAAAAATATGATTATTATATATTAAAATAAATCCAAGTATTTTCAGAAAAGAAAATAATAAACAGAAATAATATTAAAAGGACCATCAACAGAACCAATAGCACCTATAATATTAAAAGGAGTCAATAAATATTTTTCCTTTTTATCGTTACTAGAATGTGTGTTTATTTCTTTTACTTTTCTACTTTTTTATAAATGTTATTTTAAATTCGTTGTTAAAATTGATTTTATTGTGTATGGTAAACATTACATCAATGGAATATTCATGGTTAGTTAATAGAAATAACTGAAAATCTATTTGCTAGTTTGTATTGTTAAATTTGAGGCTTGATTGTAGTGGTTAGAAAATTTTACAAGTATTAAGAATGCCTCAAAAATATCCATGTGCAGAAATTTCTATCTTGACCCTTATTTTTCTCATGAATCCTTATATTCAAGATCTAAGTCAGATGATTGTAAATTAAAAATATATAAATAAATTAAATGGCTTCAGATGCATTGAAATGTGTGATTGCACAACTATGCTTTATACATGATGGATTGGACATGAGAAACTTGTAATCCTATACAATACATGAAGAGTAAATATGGTCATTTTTGCAGAATTAAATCCAATATATACATACAAATTCAATGATGCATAAAATTGTGTAAATTCACTGCCAATTACTGCTGCATGCATGTTTTCATTAACCTGCTCTTTATCCTTATTAGAGAGAAATTGAAGCAAAGGTTATTTCATTAACAAAAGCTATATCTATTTTAGGCTTTAAAAAGTCAAGATGTAACATAATGTTTTATAGTTTTTTTAAAGAATTTACAAATTCCAATTCAAATTGATTTTCTCAACAAATAAAGTTTGAAGGGAAAAAAATTCCACACATTGAAGCTTTCAGAAAAAGCTAAGTGGATACTAATGATGATGTGAAAAATGAATTGGCTTAATGCACATGATTTAATTAAGAAAAATACACATTAAGTAAAATTTGTAAATTCTCAAGTGAATATTTCGAACATTTTTTTTTTAACAACAAAGTAAAAAGAAAAGAAAAAGAAAAAAACAGCAACAACAACAACCCCACAGTAGAAGACCATAGTCAACAGAAATAGTTGTGTAACATGCAAAGGTGATAATGACAACCACCAACAAGATGCAGTGGATGCTGTTAAAAGGATTCGCGAAAAGATGAAACTAAAGCAAGTTCATGTAAATAATCATCCAAAAAATAATACTTATAATAATAAATAAATAAGTAAAACCATTGGTCTTGTTCAACAATGAAAGAAAACTCTTGTAAAATCAACAACAAGCCAGATTCATACATGCAGCAAGATGATCAAAACACATCTCATAAAAATATCATTGAAAAGAAAAGAAAAGAAAAGGAACAAATTCTATTCCAACGCTCCAAATATCGATGCGAAACAAACAAAAACCAAGGCCAAAACCAAATCAATCACACTAATGACATCCAATCTACACCAACCTGGTTACAGTTGTAAATACAACACCATCAACACACGAAGATCCAAAAAAGATAGTGTGGAAAAGGCTTCATGAGAGTGGAGTATCAACATGCATCCACACACACACATAGCAGCACCATGTCAAGTTCACAAAGAGGATCATGCAAGACCAGGACCTCCGAGTGGACAGACAAAGGATTGATTGAAGCACACCATCAGAAACGTGGATCGATGCCTGCCTGACAGAAGTGGGAAGAATTGTATACAATACGGCTGGTATGTGTGTATCTGAGTGAGTGTGTGAGTTTATCTCTTTGTGTCTGTCTGTATCTGTCTGTGTGTGTGGGAGTGTGTTTGTATGTAATTGATTGGCTGTGTGTTGGGGCATTGCAGAAATGGTTCGGAGAGCAGAGCAGAACAGGAACCAGTTCCCGAGCTGATGTCGCAGGGAGGGAGGGGGGGGGGGGGGGGGCACACTGCGACAGTCAGTTCCAGACCCAGACTTTTCCTCCAACACCCACCCAGTGCATGATAATGTAAGTAATTGATATTGCGAGATGAGTTCGAGGAGATGGCAGTAGTAATGGGGAAGAGGTGTCTCACATGAGCGAGCATATTGCAGGTGGGACAGTCGTGGCCGCTGATGATTCTGCCCCTTTCTGGAGCTCGGTGTAGCCAACTTAAATCTTAGTGGTTGGTTACAAAATCAAGAACGCTTGATTTCCCAACAATTTTTTTGAGTTGGCATTAAATTCTTAATTTCTTGCCCAATGGTGCCATGGAGTTGAGGCAAAATGTGAATTAAGTAATGTGAAACCATAAAGTGTCAAAATCGATTAGTATTATCATGTCAAGTTGATTGAAAATACACCACCCTAGAGGTTGGAAATGGGGGGTGGTAAAAAATGGGTGCAATTTATGTGGCGCTGGTTCTGACACAGGGAACTTGAAAATCCGATGCAGGACTGGATATACATATGAATATGTTGTGAATATAAATCCTCGTCCATGACTTGGAAGACACACTTGGATACAGAGGAGAAATTAGAAGTAAAGCTCCTAGCACAATTTGCTCTCCCTCGACAAAAATGCACTGCTCAAATGTTGGAAATTATTGATCTAGTAAAACATCCCAATAGCGGCGGTACCAACAATCAATTTTGAGTACGCTAACCTGAACTGAAGCATCAAAATCTTAAAAGCGAACAAAAACTGGACTATAATTCCTATAAACGAACCAGTTGTAGTATACACTAAAGAGATCACCTTACATTTCACATCCTACTTCAATAGGGACTCAATGGCTTCAAAGAACAATGAAGCCATTTCAAGAATTGGTGTCTTCACTGCACACTTGACACTTGGGACGCCTGTTTTGAAGGTGAGTTCTACAAGGAATGGAATGCTTGGTGGCACTCTGCCAGAGAGATATAGAACCTGCATAGATATAGAGAGGTGACTCAATTAAGACGTGACAGAATTCAAGCTGTTCAAGGTCAGAGTTTAAGTTCAATATCAATGATGCGTCATACATGCATTACGCTTAGATATTGAACAGTAGTAGCAAAGTTGAACTTCAGTAGAAAACGTGATGTTTGAAAAAGAGAAAATCCCGGACAGAAAATCGAAGTACTCCTACCTCTTCGTTGGTGTCCTTGAGAACCCGTCGAGCGATATAGAAAAGGTTGGTTGTGGCAAGTTTCTCCAGAGTGGCATCAACATTTGAGATCAATGCGTTGGGTAGATCCTTAGCGACCTCGTGGGAATCAGGCAGTGATTTCCATGTCTGCAATACACCACCGAATTAAGCATACAGATCTCATGTCCGAAGGAGAAACAATCTGATCCATCCAGGAAAATAATACGATCTATCAAGGCAGGAGTTAAATTAGTGTCCTACTGCAAATCAATATATTCCAAATGAATTCTGAGAGATAATAGCAAAAGGATTACCTCCAAAAATGTTGCCCTTTCCATCTTCCCTTCTTCAACAAAAAGTGATTGCAATGGAATTTTGTCGGAGAAGTACCAAACAGGCTGTTGGTTATTCTTGACAGCTACTTGAAGCACAGAGTTAGGCGAACCCTCTGATACGTTTTGAAAAAGGACTATTGGCAGCAGGGTGCTCGCTGAGCCTGATGGTTGAATAACAGGAACCTAGGAAACATGATGCAATTTGAAACAACTAAGATCCTAGCACTGGGACAGAAAATAGATCGAAAAACAGGAGTCAATAGTTTTGCTGGCACAGAAAGAATGTAACACATTGCATAAATCTGTGTCGTCAAAGAAAAGAAAGTCCACCACGGTAGATCGAGCTAAACACTGCAGAGGGAACTTTCTGTACACCAAGATTATTGACAAAATTATTCAGGAAGAAAGCGAGATCGATACATGAGTAACAAGATATGCCCTAATGAAAGTTATCTAGTTTAAAAGAACTACGAATTGTCTGAGTTACACAAATTTTAAAATCAATGAAAGATGTAACCTGAAGAGGTCCTCCAGCAGCAAGACCGAAGGTGTTCTTGTTAAATTGAATCATAAAATTATCCAGAGGAGTTTGCGTATGATTTTCAAATTTGAGATTGTAGAACACTTTCCCTTCCCGTCTGATCAGTTTTCCCGAGATTTGCAAGCCCTGGCCAGATGCTGCTGAGAGTAGTACAGGTAGAGGAGGCCTACAAAAAAAAGTAATTAAGAATTGATACTTTGGAAAATCTGTTGAGGTATATAGACCCAGGCATACAATGTGCAGGCGAACTCGGACACGTTTTACAGAGATACTTTGACGTATCTTCATATAGAACAAAGACACATGAAGAACAAAATACCTGAGGTTAGTTCCTTTTAAGAAGCAACTCACCATGAATCAACAACAGTGAACAAGTAGACACCAATGAGAGCTTTCAGAACAATATAAAGGAGGTCCAATTTGTAAGACACTTACTCGGCCGAAACTCCTGAAGTTGCAGGTCCAACTGGTACAAGGGCACCATCAAATCCCATCAGGTCACCTAACAAATCAGGTACAGGAGGTGGGGCAGTAACTGGCCCCTTTCCAACAGCAGGTGCATCTGCAGCAATAGAGGGTGGAGTTGGTGGGGCCATCTCAGAAACTGGAGCTGATGAATTTCCAGACCCAGAATCCTCGCCCTCAGCGTACTCATCATCTCCCTCTCTTGGAGCAACAGCTCGTACGCGAGTCACAAATGCATCAGCGCGTTTGTGATAGACGGATGCAAGTGTGGCAATATTAACCAGCAGATCATCCAGAAGAGATGGGTCTAAGTTGTTGGAGTCATCACTGATTGTGGGCTTCTCCGCTAAAACAACATCCTTTGCAGCCTGCAAGAAAATTCAACACTTTTTATTCTCTCATAAATTTGGGATAGCTGCCTTTAGATGATATTTCGAAGGCCAACGTTTGCATGCTCTGAACTATTTTCACAATTTCTACAACCTCCCTTGCCAACACAGTAACATATAAACCGAACTTTCCCCATCGTGGCAGGAACTTACGTCACAAATGTGATAAATTAGTATGCTAGTCCAAGTGAATCAGAACACTTCCATGTAAATCCAGACTAACTTTACCATTCTTCAAATCTTTAAGTCTTCCACGAGCAAATATAATAAAACTGAAAGACAACATACCTCAGGGTCTGTGGAAAGAAGACGCCAATACACATATGCACGATCACGCAAGTCTGGATTATCAGTTTCTTGCGTAGCATTGTTAAGCACAACCTGGCCAGACCAACACAGCTCAGTATATCTTTCAGGTTTCCTGATGCACGCTAATTAACCCGTAACGGAACTACCAACCCTAAAAGAAGGCAGCAAATCCAAACTGGGGAACCAAGCTCGATAGCATTAGCAGAAATCCTGAACAATGCGCTGCTGACCAAGAAAAACAATCGACACCTGAATCATCTGTTGAGGTCCCTCGGTAGGTTTCTTTAGAAATAATTTCACAGCGGCAGTAAGAAGCTGCAATTGCACTTGCGCAGGCTCTTCAGGAAAAGTTTCTAAGAAACTTTCAAGTAATTCATCTGCATTATCGATTCGCTCGGCATATTCACCTATGATCCATATCATCGATGCCTGCAAGAGAAACCAGAAATCAACGTCCTTGCAACAGAACACCTTGAATGCATACAAAAGGAGTTCATGAAAGACCAAGATACCAGCACAAGTAGATTACCCAAAGGATCTAACAACATAGGATAGTTGAAAGTGAAATTTAAATTCAGAATAAGACGAAGACACAGAAGTTGTAGATATAAAACGGTACCTTTGCTTCAGGCTCGTCGAGGGTGTCCAAACTTTCACAAAGCGTAGCAATGATCGACTCGTACCTGTGGAACAACACTAGTAACTACTCCAGTTCCAACTCAAGGTGGCAGCACACCCTTGTAAAACCAAAAACTGAACTTAAATGAATCATACTTGTAAAAAGCAGTCCAAACAATTTAATGGTTTTCAACCAAATTCTGCTCACAAGAAATTCTAGAAGTATCCAACTGCGCTCATTCTTACATGTTGGGATATCTCCGGAAAATGTCCTTGATCACAATAATTGCTTCTTGAACAACGTAGTTAACCTTGATCTTAATGAGATCCAAGAGAACATTGATGCACCGTTCAGCTGCTCGCTCCAACTTTATAGCACATCTACCTATGGCTCGTACTGCTTTCCTCACAAAATCAACATCGACCTCTGTAGCATACTCCTTGAACTCCAAAAGAACCTGGACAAGATATTATGCTTGTTAGTCTACAAAATACCAAAGATGCTACATGTTTTGCCAATCCCAACGAGACAGCGTATCTTTGTATTCATTTCATGTTTGAATGCCTTCTGCGACATAAGAAATTTTATTACTAACACTGAAAGGTCACCACAAGGCCAGATTAAGAATATGAAGGATTTTATTTTTTTGAGTACAAGAGATAGATGACAAAACCTGATCGATATTACGATCTGAGGCAAGTTTGATCATGATCTCCAGCTTCTCCATCTTCACGTAAATAGGATCATTATACTTGCAAAAAAACACCTGTGAATATGAGACATACCAAGATTAGATTTAAGATCTTAAGCTGAAGTATCTCTCTCTCTCTCTCTCTCTCTCTCTCTCTCTCTCACACACACACACAGTCCATAACTAGACCTGCTTTTGAGCAACTTTTAATCTGGTTAACATTCTAGGTGAAGCAATCACACCATACATCTAGGGACCCAATCCTAGGTGAATGAGGCACAGAAAAAGAGCTGACAGTAGACCTTGATCTCATGTGCAAGAATGCCTGGCCGTCGTTGCACAATAAGGTTAATATTACGCAGAGCCACATACTGGATCTCAGGCTCTGCTGATAGAAGTGTAACCAAAGGTGGTGCCATCTTTTTACACAGATTTCGCACAATATCCGTGCTAGTAATAAGTTCCATTTGCAGCAAGATTATCTATACACAAAAAGTTGATTCAGTAAAGGATTTGAATAGAAACAACATCCCTTGAAAAAACTTCACTTGCTCCTAAACACCAACTGAAAGCAGAGCCCACGTAAAAGCCAAATTGCCGAAAAATTGATTGAGCACTAGCAAATAGCTGAACAGAAGTCGGGCACAAATAAATATTCAGCCTGCCGAGAAGATGATGTGGAGGATAACAGGGATCACCACAACCACAGAAAGTCGCGATACCTTGACAGCAGACATTACTACAGCACAATTTGCATGTTGCAAGCGAGGAGTAATGCGTTCTACAATATTTTCCGCGTCTCGGACATCCTTCGCTTTATATTTAGATAAAGCATCTAAGATAAAAACTTGACCCCACCTGCAATCACAGAAACCAAATACTTTCAGCTAAATGTATCTGATGATTTTTGTTCCCAAACATTAAAAATTCAAAAAAAGTCGGCATCGTCAGCATCTAAACAGTACCAAGTGTACAAAATAGACATTAATAATCCCTCATCCTGCCATGTGCTGTGATCATTTAGGTACGTAATATCTACAACAAAGAGATCAAAGACAGCGTACTCCATCACAGAAGATTCAGTCAAGAAAACGCTTACTCGGTACATTCATTAAGAGCCGCCAAAAGCTTGAAAAGCGTGTGATTTGTGATCTCAAATACGCTCTTGCTACTACCTTCTTGAATTTCGGCAAGTGCTGCAACAGCATTAGCAACAACCATTGGATTGCTATCGGAAATCATATCCTTTAGTGCCTCAAGAAATCCTCTGTCTTCTACTAGCTCTGCATTGATATCATGCAACTTGGCAACACAAATGGCTGCCGTTTTGCGAACATAGGGATCGTCATCCTGTGCAATCACCCGAAATCCATTTATTAGTATTGACGTAAGAATACGAAAATAAAAATTCAAAGTCCTGACTCCAAGGAACGCAAATGAAGGATATAACAGAAACATAGAGATGAAATGGGAAAGCATCGCTGATCAAAAGCTCTTGAGGCTAATGCAACTGGGTGCAGTACACCTCTCAAATTACATTGAATTAGATCCCATAATGTCTAATCTACAAGCAGGATACAAAAATATATTTTCGGCTGCATCCCCAGCACGCTTTCACTCCTACATGAAATTATGGGTTATTGATATTACCATAAGAGAACACACTTGCTCCAGGAAAATAGACCATCATCTAAACACCCAAGAACTAACCTTCAAACATCTTTGTAGAGGGTCGCACAGATACTCCGTAATCTTGTCAACCCTGATACAACCCATTGTCCTGACAGCTAGTGCTCGTATTAGAGGATTCGGATCTTGGGAATCCTGTGGAAAAAAGTACATATCATCATCATCATCATCATCATCATCACCACCACCACTACGACCACAAAAGAAAAACAACCCAAGCAATCTAAGTGCTCTCCGCGCAACGCTCAAAATAATTTGGGTGTGTTGTCTTCCATTGCATGCATTCCAGAAATCATTGAGTCAAAGGATATACCAATCGGAGGACAATTTATATTCGAAACTTGTGAATTCAAGTAATTACAAACCTTAACAAACGTGTTGACGGCAAGAATTGCCAGGTCAGGATGGCTCTTTGCATAGTTGATGAGGTATAAATACACCAGCTTCTTCAACTCCAAATTCTCTGTTTGCATGCAGTTAACTACGTCTGTGAACAACATAGATACGTCCTTGCCAACGGTCATCGCAGCAATGACCTTCTTCACGGCATCTTTCTTCTTGTCCTGCAAGATACACGTCAAACGCATTTTAGGTTGTGCCAAGTATTCAGGTTTGTGGGATGTAGTCAGTTTCAAAGAACCGCATGTACAGTGCGAGCAAAGATAAAGAAAACCTCACTAGACACAAAATTGTTTTACACAACAAAAGAGCACGTGTCGAAAGGAGTGCAGATGGATAACATTGCTTTAAGCTCTGCTGTTCACGAACAAGCACACCAAACCGCACCACTCAAAAAGCATTTACTCACGAATAAGAGGACCAATAAAAAGAGGAGAGGACTGTATAGGGTAAGTCACGAAACGGAGTAAAAAGAATGGGCTCAAATATAGACCGTGAAACTGAAGGAGAAAATGTAGCACAACAGGCAACGTTATTGTTACTCATTTCAGGACCGCACAGCACACTTAGGAGTCATTCTTTAGCAGGCAATCTCATATAATATGCTGAATTCGTAAGGTCAGTTTTAGGAAAATGTACGCGCCTCACAGCGAAAACGAATCCAGGAGATACGAAGGAAAAATTGCGCAAACAACAAGAGTCCCTTGCACAAAGTGATCATAAGCTTTCACAATCTGCTCCACACCCAAGTAAAATCAACACAGAGCAGTCCTCGAAAGTTTTGCTATGGTACATTTTCCAATGCTGAAGCGAGGAAAAGAAAGGGATAGTAATAATCAAAGTAAAAATTCCTAGGGAGGGTACACAGAAAAAGTCTTCCGACATTGCAAATTCCGAACACATTTCAAGCAGATGTTCGCCCATCAGAAGATCCTCGGGATAGGATTGACTGAAGAAGAAGTACAATGCGGACAAACTCAGAATAACCGCTGTCCGAGTCATCTACCACATAGGAACCTAAGATACATTGGTTCTCTCTCACCATTTCGGAGCGATCAACAAACCGGGCTCCGATCGAGGGTTCTTCAAACTCCAAAACCACAAAGATGTGCACAGAGAGGGCTTTGACTTGGCCCACACCGAACAACTACAGATCCCAACACATCGATGTTGCAACATATCCCCTTACCTTGCTCAACGTCGAACCCCAACATACTCACGAACAATGTCGTCGCGGTTTTAATCGTACAAAACCAAGCAAACACAGAGCGCTGGAAAAAAAAAAAAAAAAAAAAAAAAAAAAAACCTCCACCATCTAACCTATCACGAACCGCAACATCGAAATGTTCTCAAAAAACTGAAGACGAAAACATGGAGACATTCACCTTGTACTGCGAATTGAGCTCTTCCTTGAGCTCATGGATCTCGCCTTTCTTAGTGGTGGTGAAGTACTTAGCGTCATGGCCGCTCATGGTGTCCCGCTTCTTTCAGAATCATCCACCACTGCAATCGACCGCGGCGAGAGGCTGTTTCAGTGGCAATGGAGTGAAGGGGTCGGTGCAATAAAATCGACGCACACACACATACACAAACACACTTGCACGCAAGCACGCACGCATGCATTCCCCTTCCTCACCCAGCGTCGTTGTGAGCTCCCTGAGTGCCTCACCACTCTCCGCTTGCGCCGCATTCATCCAACCCATGGGATATTATTCATCCGTTGTGGATGAATGAAATGAGCTCTCCAGCGGTGATTGAAATCTCATTCATCCGATTGAAGTCCCCGTCCCCCAGTTAGCACTCTCTTTCTCGTGGCCTGTTCCAACGTCCAAATAATAATAAGAATAATAATTATAAGTTGAGGTAAAAATTCAAACTAATTTATAGAATCTAACTAATGTATAAAATTCAAACTAACTTATTTGAGAAAAGAGAAAGCCATAAAACAAATTTTTCATTGCTATTGAAATTATTTAAGTAATTGAGCACCAAATGTTGGTAATTGGTTTTTTTACACATGTATTTTGGTTCAACAATTGATTTTTTTCTCCTCTACTATTTTATGTAATTATACTTGAAACATAATTTCTCTTTAAGAAAAAAAAGAAAAAAAAAAAGAAGGTATGCATAGAACATTTATGTGTGGCATTGGAAAATGAAATTTGTAACCAAAATCAACAATGTTTCATCATCATTTTTTATTCAAAATATACCAATTGTAACATTTAGTGATAATATTAGCAATAAGGTAAATATTTAATTTTAAATAGTAGGCTAATTACATAAATTGTTCTTTTTGTTATATGCAACAATTTTATTTTATATATTAATATCTTACAAAAAAAAATGAATGACACAAGTCTTATTAATGTTTTCTATGAATAAATATTTAAACTAATATGGAAGAAAACATAGAGTTGATTTGAGCTTGATTATATTAGTATTGATCATATTATTATTAATTAAATAATATATCTTTGATCAAGTATAAATTTTATTATTTTTAAAATATTTATTTAAAAAAAAACTTAGTATTTTTAAGGTATTATGAGATATAATTAAATATATATATATATATATATATATATTAGTTTATTTTTAAAAAAATTTGGTCTTATCACGAAGGTAAATTTTATTCTTCAATCCAAATTACAAGATGGCTTGAATTGAGAGTTACTTGTAATTTGCAATACGAAGTAAGAGAAATAAATGATAATAAAAAAATATGAAAAAATACAAAATAAATGAAAGAAATATATTCAAGTAATTATACATTCCAAAATTTGATAACAAACTATTCACTACCTTCTCATTTAATAAAAAATAAAATATATATATATTTAGATGGATAATTGCATTATTTTTTTAATAACAATAAAATTATATAGATCCAATTTATTATAAATTAGCTATAAAATTTTAATTATAAAAAATAAATATTTAAAAAATTAAGTGAAAATATTTTACTTTAAAGTTAACTTGCTAATAAATCATAGATTTGAATCTCACTAAGGTTCACATGTAGTACAATAAAAGTACCATAGAAAAGCCTTGAAGCTTTAATCTTATCATGCTACTTGTATTTAAAGTGCTACAATCCATATACAACTTATACACCTCTCTTTTAATAAAGACTATTATCAAGAATATGAATCTCAAAGGACTAAAAGATCAATACACTCTTGTATCATTCAAAAAGACTAAAAAATTATCCAAAAATTAATATAATATTAAACTAGAATTACCAAAGGTAAAGATGACTAGAAAGTCTTAAAACAAGACTAAAAATGAATTGATAAGAGTGAAAAAGGCTTCAATCTTGCCTCTATATATGCTATCTAACTATGAGCTATATGATAACATTTTATATGACCTTTGAAACATGTCCAACTTGTAAGACACATGTTTTAATGTACAAGGTAAGTTTTCTATATATGCCCCAAATAGTTAGCTTATATAACAAGCTACTAATATATGCAATATGTGGTAAATTTTTTGGCCAAGTTTCTAATGTATCAATCAACTATAAATACATGTTAAATCAAAGTTGTATCAATGAAGCTTATAAGAAGCTTTTCTATAAAAAATTATTAATTTATTTATTATAATATATTTCTATTAATTTATATTATCTAGATAATTTTAAAAAAATATATGTGTCTATGACATTACCTCTCTTTCTAGGGTCAAGTTCTATGAGGAGTAGTGATCATATGTTGATGAAGTCCAAAATGAAATAAATTGCATTTGTCACATACTTTGATTTTTGTTTTCTTTAAGGATAGTTGATAGGTCCTCTTAGTCATTGATAATGTCTCATTCCATAGAAGGAAGACCACCATGTTAATTGATCATTGTTGAAGCCTTTCTAACTTTGTTCAATAAAACATTTATAATACCATCAGGAATTATTTTTACTTTTAGTAAAATCACCAAACATTGGGAGTTTCTTCTAAGGTCGTGTTACCAAACATATTGTATCTTGCCATCTATTCAAAAAAAAAAAAAAAAAAAAAAAAAAAAAAATGTTGTTCTTGAAGATCTTCATTTGTCTTATGTCATCTTGAAGGTTGTGACAAATACAATGTCTCATTTGGTAAGTCAATAAACAATAGTTCTTTTATGATGTCATACAACTATATAGTAAAACTATAATAAAAAATAAATTTCTAATTAAAATCTAATTATCTTGATTCAATAATAATTCAAGGTATCTAAACATGGCTTTTATGAAAACTTCTTAGGTTATTTTCTTATCTTAATAGTTACTAGGTTGAAGATTAATTAGTAATTTTATCTTCTAGCTGTAGAGATTCTTTTACTATCTTAGAAAGACCATAAATTAATAAAATGAGATTAAAAGAGGTAAATAATTAGTATAGTTGATACTAGGATTAAGTTGAGGATAGGGTTGGGCTAAAAAATCCTTAGGATAGGTTAAATTGATACCCAGGGATTGACCATTTCTGAGATAGGATCGAAATCACACCTTTGGCCACTAAAATGATTGCCTAGGATAAAATAGGGATTTATTTGAAGATCAAAGATTAGATTTGAGAGCTAGATTAGAGCTTATTTTAGAGACGTAAGGTTGGTGTTGATAGAATTTAGAAAGTGTTAGCAATCATTGTTGGTGGCCGAATGACATTAGTGCAATTTTTAGAGGTTTTTTTACAATTTGTTTGTTGGATTGGACTAAAAATTCTTGAGCGTATAGAAGACTTATTTTGACAATTACATGCAAAATTTCACATCAATTAGATGGTCAAATTAGAATTTATAGCTTGTCAAAGCTCACTAATTAGGATTAGTGCTCACAAGAAAAATCTAAATTGCTTAAATATGAAAGTAATAAGGTAATTGAGGTTTATGTGTGATTGTGGCTATTAAGAAGAGTATTTTTTAGAACTTTTTAAATCAAAATTTGGATTATATTCTTCTCATATAGATGAAACCTATTAGGGTGACTTGGATGTTTGTGAAACTCAATCTCACCTTCCACAGCTAAGTGTCCAGTGCATTCTCAAGTAAGACAATATGTAATACAACATAAGTGATGAACTCGACATGAAAGTTTGGGGTGGAAGGTATTAGATCATATTTTTGGTTATTCGAAATTGATGGTGCAAGAAGGCAAGAAGGTTGAATTTGATGTCTTTGATGGAGTTTTAGATGGAGCTATAAGTGGATCTTCAAGTGGAGTTTCAAGTGGATTTTCTATTGGTGAATAAAGTATGTACTTTGATCCAAACACTGCAAAAATATTTCAAGCATTTACATTATTTATGGAACAAAAATAAAGCAATGATAAAAAAAAAAAAGGCTTTGGCAACTAAAACATTGCAAGCGGTCGTTAATAAGATTGACTAATTTGATGGAAGGGATATTTCTAAATATTTAAGATGTTATGTGTAAAAAATGGAATTGAATTCCATTTCTGAAAAGAGAATGATTCAATTATTTAAGCTTGCTATGGTATCGAAGATAAGGGAGCATATAAGGTCTATTGTGGAGCAATTTAAAAGTTTATGGGAGGTGTTTTTATATACATTGAAGGATGAGTATTTTTTGAAAGATACTGATTGAGTTACCAAGAAATCATTCTTGGAATGGATTAAACGACCTAACAAAAATTTACAAGCTACAAAATTATTAAGAGAATTTAAAAGATAATTTTTTTGATTATCAAAAATGAAAAAGTTAATATTAGAATCAAATAAGATTGAATTGTTTCTTCAAGCTATTGATGGAAAATTATAAGAGAAATTAGAGGTTCTTTTTCAAGAAAAGGAAAAGGATGAAGGATTGATAACAAAGTGGAGGACTATAGAAGATGCTATTAGATTATTTGCCAAAAGAAAAAAGAAAAAGTATAGAATTAGTATTCAAAGAGTGGTACAAATACCAAAGACCTCAATGCCTACTATACAATTGATTGTGCCTATTATCCAACGTCTATTAGCTACATCAAAGAAAGAAGATATGGAACTTGAAAAGATTGTACAATGGATGTGAGATCTTCAAATCAAACTTGCAAGGCTTGAGGAGAAGACTTCTACAACAAATTCAAAGGCTACTTTTAAACAAGGATATGTGCAAAGATGTATTTGGTGTGATGATAATTTTCATTCTTAAAAAGATTGTGGTGAATTTGATGAGATGGTACAGCAAGGCATTGTTTATTAGAAAGATGGAAAGGTTGCATTGAAGGATTTTGGTGATCTTTTCTAAACCAACTTTGGTAAAAGAAGTATGAAAATTTTGGTTAAAGATTATTTGACAATACATAGAATTGCAGCGATAGAAGCTGCAAGTTATAGAACTAAGATGGATAATGATGGCAAACAATATTTTCTTGGAAATATTCAACTAAGTGGACTTTGATATTTTGTCATTTGTATAATGAAAAAAGAGAAGATGCCAAAGGAAGCTTTATTGAAAATTACTACAATAATTTGTAGTACTATGGATTGGAAGGATCTTGTAGAAGCTTTGTCAATACATGCATATATTGCTAAAAGCCAACATGAAGCTTTAATAGAAGAAAAGAAGAGAGAAAATTTTGATGATACAAGAAAAGAAAATTCTTCTAAGATACAAACTTGAGGAAATAAGGCTCGTGCAACATCTTCTTAAGAATTGCCCACA